CATAATTACCCCCTTACCGAGTTAAAATAAACAAATTAGGTCATTTTACATTCTGAACACAGCAATTTACTATAGTAATGTTTTCGTTGTTTGTTTTTTTTTTTTCCGGGGGGCGCACGAATAGATTAAACATTGAACATGTCAAAAAGTTAATAGTGCCTTTGAAGTTGGGTCATTTGGACGTGTACGGCCATACAGATGGCTTTAGTGAAAACATTTTTTTCCCATTATGACCTGCCAATGTCAAAAAAAAAAAAAAATAAATAAATAAAAAAACGAAATAAACTGCGAGAGAAAAAAAAATCTGAAATAATGGTTTCTATTTTAATTTTAAATTCCGCTAAGGGCTAGCTTTTAATTATCGCCGTAAATTTACATATTATTTAAAATAAAATATTGACTTAAATCTCAGTGGCCCCGACCCTATAGAAAAAACAAGGTGAAAATATGTCGTTCTATTTTAATATTATAATAACGAAACTTCCTCCTAATGAACTGAAACAAATTATCATTCAATTAAGTGGCAATATTTTCACAAATTATAGTGAAAGAATTATAACTCCGATCATTGGTACATGCCTATATTATAATATATTATTTCGAACATAAATTATTGGAAAAAGAAAAACACAGGAGTAGAAAATATGTATTTTATAACTTGATTACGGCTCATTGTCGATTTTTATTTCGAGTTATTGGTCCAGTTTTTGTAACAGATTGTAACAGATTTCGTTTGAACTTGCGGTTATCAAAGCGCGAGTTCTTAAATAGATCGAATACTGGACAGGGGCTGTGAATCTAGAGAAACAAGTATCGACGATGTTAAGTCGTTGTTGTTGTTGTTGTTGTTGCTGTTAAAAACGGAAAGGGCCCTCTTTTTTTTTTTTCTCATTGTAAGATTCTCCTTTATGTAACTCCCAAGAATAGATGCTCTTTCAGAAAGCACTTGATGCGCGTCGCTTATGTATAACCTCATAAAGGTCGGGCGGTTATTTAAAATAAGGCTTTATCGAATTTTATATTTTTTTATCTCGAACTGGGCAAGACGGAAAATTACTTTATTTATTCATTGTCATAAAAACAACGAATAAGAAATAAAAACCCGGGTAAACAGTATACTCCGGAGAGAAAGAAAAAAAAAAAAATAAAAACAATATTTGTTTATGACGATAAACCCATGGATTTATTTTTCCTTTACCCGCGGTTATTGTAAAGACTCGCCGACGACGACAACGGTGTATTTGGAAAATAATATTAAATCCCTCGGCGGCAGTGGCAGTGGTCTCGAGCGATTTCCATTTCCCGTCTGTCTATCAGAAATCGTCAGTGATCATCGTCCGTCTCTCTTTCTCTCTGTCTCTCCCTCTCGAATTCAATTAGGACTCGGCAAAAAACTTTTCCAACCGTTTCAATGACGAAAATTATACCTTATAAATAATACCACGGATCTTTAATTTAATGCTCGTGATAAGCCTATTACAAATTCTAGCCTGCGGCCGCCGCCGCGCCGGGTCGGACTCGTTCGGTGTCTACGCCGTAGACTTTGTACAGTAAATTTCCAGTGCTTACGTACAAACTTATTTGCGCTGTACATAAGTACGTTTTTTCGTACACCGTCGCATTGAATGAAAGCGTGCCCGGCCCCCTCGATCCGAATCCTACAGATCCGGGTAAACCGACGAAATAATAAACGTGACTTGTACACGCGTATTTTCGGTTACCTACAACTACAAGTGTTGTACAGAAACATTTGACGTTCGATTTAAACGATCTTATTATCAGCTGACGACACCGACGAACTTTGAAAAGTCTAACGCTTAAAAAATATCGTGTAGGATTTACACGACGTTTTAGTTTTTATAATTTAAAAAATAACACTATCGCGATTTCCGGCGAAGAAAATCGTCGGATTTTCGTCGAGCACGACGACGACAACGCGTCGTATTCGAACGGAACGACAAATTATCGTTTTATCGAAAATAACGAATTTACTACGATCCGGCGGAACAATTAACGTACAAAATAACAATCTCGCCGCGTCTTCGAAACGGATTCCGTTTGATTTTCGTTGATTTTTACGACGACGAAAAAAAAAAAAAAAAAAATTATCCAAAATTAAAATAGACCGGCCGAAAAACCCGGAACGTTTTTGTCGTGTAACGTCGCGCGCAATTGGCGAGAGATTACGGGATTACACGGACTACGGGCCGGACGGCACTGCACCGCCGTTGTTGTGCCGATCGAGTGGGGCCGGGGGACGTTCACGCGGAAACTATAAAGTGGGCATACCGCTGCGAGCACCCGTTTAACGTGAGCCCGTCGCGAACGGCCGACAAGATACTCGGGAATTGCGCGTTAATACATTTACGATCTGTAAACGCGATAATACCCGATCCGTAATTAGCGCTCGGTTCGGGGACGCGGGCGAACGGACTGCCGCTAATAATTTTTCAGAAAAATTATTAGCGTATCGCACTATTCGTTACTGTTCGTTTTGAGCGGAACGCGTAGCGCGGTACGTATTTTCGCATTTTTTTTTTTTTTCTCCGTCCGAGTGCCTTTTCATTAAAATCGGCAATTAAATCGCTCGTAAAAGAAAAAAAAATACTACGTTACGCGTTCGAATTTTTTTTTTTTTTTTCCCACCACTAATAATAACCGACTTATGACAAAGTATGCGTTGGATTCCGAATCGCGGTCGACGGCCGGAAATAATTGAACGTAAAACCAAACGGAAACCAAAAATAGCTATAATAGGTCCGCCGCGGCGTTCTGGAAATTTTACCACACCCAAAATGGACCGATATGAGATACTATTAAATATTTTAGGTCTCTGAGATATTTTTTTTTTTACACTGAATTACAAAAAAAAAAAAAAAATTTGAAACAAATCGAATACAATAAAAACCGTTATTGTGTAAAAATATTCCAGTTTTCCCGACTTTTTTTTTTCTGGGTTTTACTGTTATCCCGTTATTAAATAAAACTACAAAGAAATTAAAAAACCAAAAAAGACGGACATACTCCGCATGATGGATGGACCACTGTTGTAGGTGAGAAGTTGGGAAGGCATGTTGTAGAGGGGAATTAAATTTTTTATACAAATAACTCAAATATTTTGGAAATTTTACCACGTTTAGAAAGGGCAAATATAAGTTTTCTGTTCAAATTTGAAATCTCTACGAACGGAAACTGCATGGAAAATCAAAAAATTATCTACTTAAATTCCACACAGATTTTCGTTCACAAGAGTTATAACATTTAAAAATCGCAGCATGATCCCTGGTAGAAAAGTGATTTACTGAAGCCGAGCAAATCGGGGTAAAGGAAGTGTGGGGAGGACAAAGCCTCTCTGCGGTTAGGTTGAGTTCAATAACTACAAGATACGCTAATTGTCGTTTAAGTCTATAATCCTTCTATTCACATGTCTCTCTCTTTTTTGTTTTTTTTTTTTTTGTTTCTGATTCGAGCACTGCTAATAATACTTGTCCGAACATCGAATTAAAAAAAAAAAAAAAAAAAATGTTACATATTTCGTATGGATTTCTCGGAGATTTAATATTTTGCTATAATATACCCGTACGCAATTAATACTACGTCTATAAATAATCTGTACCTAATAGCCTGTACGCGCAGTGTATTAAGTATAATCATTCCGTTATTCGGCGTTACCTGTGTGAATAGCTGCAACGCACAAAAGTCCCATACGGTTTCTATAATTAAATTAGCAAACGAACCGGAGATTTTAAAGTAATCGACTCGAGTATTATACATATATATATATATAGATAGTGATCACCCGATGCGGAAAACCAAAATGAGGTGCACGTATAATGCAGTGATAATATTATAGGAAAATCGTGTAAAATGATTATTGATAATGTAATAACGCGGAAAACGAAACGAAATGAATATTACGTGTGTACACGTATGTATACATAACGTTGTACATTTTACCCGCTGTAAACCAAATGCGAACGGCGTCCTATACGGAATGATTATTTTTTCACGGACCAGCAATTCCCTCGAAGGATTTTAAACGAATTTTGTTGCCGTTTTCTTTTTTAGTCACTGCGCCGATTTAAACGCCGTTTTCTATTTTATACCACCACTTATTGTACCCGACACCTATATTAATACATCCACTACCATGTTATACGTGCTATAACAGTTTACAGATTAGACCGGATGAGCGGGAATGGTAATTAACACGATATATATTTTTAAATGGTACATTTACAACCAATTCATTTTGGAATGAAACGGGAGGGGGTGTTGCTATGTGAAAATTCAAAGTGGATACTCGTTTCGGGAACAAGTAGTAGGGGTATACAATTTCAAATAATATTAACATGAAGGTGAGACGGTTATAAAATGATTAAAAAAAGGACGGACATATTTCGCACGTGGGTGTAGCCACTGTTGTAGGCGAGACGTTGGGAATAGGGTACAGACGGGGATTTAATGTATATCTGTAAATATTTACCATTGCTAACGAAAAAACGATTTTGAGCAGATTTCAGTTGATAGTGTTGGTTTGTCAACAATATATGATATATATATATGTCATATTATGGTAAAATGAGTACAATAATGTACATTTCCATGACAAAAATGATTGTTTAAATAAAGATTAAAACAATAAAAACTTAATAATAACAAAAAATAAATAAAAATGGTTGCCAATGACAACCTTAAGACCGAGATTTTCATCGTTATTTCGAATATTAATGAAAATTTCAAAAAATGACCTCTTTAAAGTACCACCCAGAGAAAATTTCCTTTCCAAAAAAAAAGTGCTGTACTTGATAATCGGAGTATGCTTTCTGGTGGGAAAAGTGTTCACATAAAAAAAAAAATAAATAAAAATAAGCATCATTGTAAAACCAATACATTCCTCGCTCCACTTAGAATCTAAAACTAAAGCTAAAATCAAAGTTGCTTAAAATCCTCCGAGAAAAAAATTACGTATACGCACGTAAAAGGACGAACGGGAGTAAAAATTGTAAGATTAACCCGCTCATGTTTTGTTATAGAGAGTTCCGTTTCTGTCCCGTCAGAGGTAATATTGTTTCCGTTTTGTACACCGGTTCATTGTCGAAGACCAATAAAACTGCGATCGTATAAAAAATGGAATACTAGCTATGGTACATACGAAATCCGTTGTTTTACGTGGTATATACGTTCGAGATTGTGTGTCGACACTGGCAACGTCTGGAGTTCGGTTATCCGAAAGTATATCGTGTACAGCTGTATGGGTACTCCATTCAATATTATTATATTTTATTAGACGTACGTTAGAGTTTGTTCAGCGCTCACCTATATTGTGTTATACACATAAACGTCCGGACATTTCACTAAAGTAAACCAGGTATGGGTTCGGACGATAAGTCGACCGAACGTATTGTCACGCGGTAAATGGCCCGGGAAACGGTCGTTCCGTACCAAATATAATGTTTCGAATGAAATGTGTACGCGTCGATAACAAGGACGAGACCCCAATTGTCATGGACTCGATACATTATGTGGACGGTGTTCGCGAAAAACGGTGTGAGGGCGTTGAGTACAGACGCCGTCTACACCGGACGGATGCTCGTGGATATATACGGTCTGTAGCCAACGGTAGTGCTCGTAATATTGTAAAAACATTGCCATAATATTATAAGCAACACGATAAACCAAACGAGCGCGAAAATTGCATTGTTTAAAACAAGTTTCACGAGAAAAATACAATACGTATACAGTACACGTACTCGTCGGAAAACTTTTTCGAAAAAAAAAAAAAAAAAAATAAAAATGGAAAAAATGTGCCTACAATTAAAGCCGATTTCGGAAATCATTACATTTATTCCCGATAGTTCACTGTATTCTAAAAAACCGAATTGACAAAATACGAAAATCCGAAACTTTAATAAAATATTTTTTTAAATATCTACACATGGTATTTTTATAAACTCATACCTAGGTAGTTATTTCATCAGAACTATAATAAAAGTGTACGTTTTTAATTACATTCTTCTATTTCTTTCGTTTTTTTTTGGGGGGGGGAGGCTGTTAATTCTAACCCTACAAATTCGTATAAAACAACAATATTTACGATATACATTTAAAAATAATTTTCAATGTGTTTCAATTATTATCCGAAAAACGGATAGCCGAATTAGTTGTAATATGACTAAAATGTTTTTGGGTGAAACGGGAAAAGCCGAGTCCAGGTAAAACGGGTCCCGCCCGGCTTCTCGAGCCCGTACGGATTTAAGCCGACGGATTTGAGAGGCCTCTAACGTCGGAGGCGGGATTCACTCAGCGGATACCTTATAATTATTATTGTATACTGTTTTGTTTGTACGTTGTTGTCGTTTTAAAATTATATTTTGAACCGCGACATTTTAATAGAAACACATTGTCTTCGAAAAACGAAAAAACATTGATCAGTTTGTTGGTACCGCACTACTCCTCGGAAAATAACGAATTTTCCCGGTTTCCGCGTCCTACTCAATGTTATCACGTATATTATTGTTAAAAGTGTAAAAAACGGTTTCGAATTATTTCTCCGGAACGAGTTCGCTGACCCTCCTCTGGCGGCGGGTTCGAAAACTCAACGCGAGTAAACTTTACAATTATTATAATACACAATAATTACACTGTATGTATACCGACTGTATTATTATGTACATCGGGTCGATAAGGTTAGACAATTGCAATGATACTGGTGGTCCGTTATTATTTTAAATACTATCGTGCGCGTCACGCAGAGTTTCGACTTAATAAAACAGATATATATATATATATATGTGTGGTCCTCTGACCGTCAACCGAATAAACATCGAAACCCGTCGTAAAGGACTCGATTGATTCTTCTTTTGGTGACCACGAGAACGAGTGAGTAATAATGGCCGACTAAGAAACCTCGCGGTGTACTCTTGATCACTGCGAGGTCACTTTAAACTACGAAATGCTGACCGTGATAACGAGTACTGGATGTTTCGAGGGCGAGATCTCTTTAATCCAGACAATATTATACTGTTTCTCAACTGACCTCCGCGATAACGAGCACTGGATGATATATTATGCAAGTACTACTATACCGTCTTTCTACCTATCAAAATGGTCGGTTAGCCGCAAAACGACTCAACACGTATATCGAGATTGTTTCGCTAAAAAAAAAAAAAATAATAAAAAGGGTAAATCTATTCCAAAAATACAAATATCTATAACTCAACGATATCAAAGTGGTTCGAATATAACGAGTAGAAATTTAAAGTTAACAAAATATTAATATAAATATCACGATCTTCGTAAAACAAAAATAAAACACTGCATTTGATCAGAATCGATCTTCGTTTACCATGATTTGCCGTTTAAATTAAAAACTTTATACGTAGGGAAACGTACTATTTCACGATTTCATTATTTTATAAAAACACGAACGACGTTTTAACTACCAGAAAAACTAATTTAATCGAAAAATCACATGATACCTTGTTTGTTGCTTTTTTGATTTACTTTCTTACGATGTAACCGCCAAAACTTTTGAGCCACTTTTGAGCTCTTAAGGAATTTTAATTTTTGGGAGTATTTTGCTGTAATTTAGTTATAAATACACGTAGAGAGTTGAAACTTGGTAAAAATACTTATATTGGACTTACCTATAAATGGTAAAATTTCCAAAATCATCGGACGAATTTTTTTTTTTTTTTTAATAAGCGGTTTGAAATCAAATTTAAATGAAAATCGCAAAAAAAAAAAAAAAACAGCATTTCAAATTATGTATAACCGAACTGCTCTCGGAATCGTCTTTCGTTAAGCAATGATTTATCGTTTCTTACAGATATAAACGAAATAACCTTATGTATTCTACCTTCCTAACTTTTCATCTACAGCAGTGGCCGTCCCCAGTATCAGTTCTTTTTTATTGAAATTATAATGTTAAAAACAGCATTTTCAAAGAAAAAAAAAAGTGTTATCTTATTTTTGAACTCTTATTTATTGGTTCAAATGAATATTTGCATTAATTGTTATGGTAACCGCTTTATTGTTTACTGACTATCCTATAAAAGCACTCGTTTCTCGCTATTATTGTCAATTATTAGTTTTTTTATTTAGAACGCATTGTACCGTTTTGTAATAATCATTCAAGGTTTTTGTGTTCTCACTGTTAAATATTTGTTTACCTTACAGTACATTCCGTTCAAGTTATGGCTGCTTATTCAGTGGTTGTAAGTACTAACTAATATAAACAACCAAGTATAAAGTATATTTTAACCGTCGGATTTTATTTTCACAGGGAATCGCGAACATTTTCAGTTCAATGGTTAATACTATTTTGAACCCGGTTAACATTATATCCCGGAAAATTGTGGCACTACCGGAGACGACCGAAAGTCATCTGCAGAACGATACCGTCGAAGCAAAACATCCCCGAGTAAGACGATTAGCCACGATAATAAATAGGATATTTTTTTTAACGCGATCGATGGTCGTAATTTCACGTGTATTTCGTCCCGTTTAGGATTTGGCTTGCCAAGGATTCGTGAAATTGTGCGACAATGCGATCGGTGACGGATTGCATGTGGCGAGTCCCGTTTCAGGACAAGCTCTTCAAACGGCTTTGTTGCCGAAACGTTACGGCGCGTTGAATGAATTGCGCAAAACTACGACGGTATGTACCGATACAAAAACTAATTAAAATCCGATTTCCGTGTAATATTTGCTATTAAATAGCTGTACGTCTTTCGAACGTTTACGTTTGTAAACTTAATTATACGCGCTATTATCGTGGTTTTTAAACTGGGTACCACGGCACACTGTTGTGCCGCGACCATTCACTAGGCGTGCCGCGGTCTTTTGAAATTTGTTTTCCTTAAATTGTGACGGACCACCGGTTACGGTGATCAGTTCGTTAAGTATGAAGTGTAAAGTCACAGTGTGCCGTGAAAACTATGTGCAAAGCGAAGTGTGCTGTGGTAGAAAAAATTTTGAAAACAACTGCTCTATTACTTTCCAAACTAGCGACCTACAACAGTTACGGCCTAGTCGTGGTTCTAAGTGTGTGCGGTCTTTCTTAATTCGTGGTTGTCACTGGCAAGAAAGTCCCCCCACCAATTTTTTTTTAAAGATGTTGGAAACAAGAACAATTTAATAATATATTAATAAATACGTAATTGTGTTTTAGATGATGCGACGCACGCCGCCGTCGAAACGCCAAGTGAATCGTTTAGTAACAAAATTCGAGTGCGTAGTTGTCAATGTTAAAAAAAAAAAATATTTATACCGAGAAAATTTCACATTTTACTCGGTATTATTTACGTGTTTCGTCATTTTATATAGATTCATCGAAAAAATCTACAACTTCAGGATTCGTTCCGAAACTATAGTTTGGTCGTTCGTTAACGATTTTTTAAAGGGACACGGTGATGATTTACAAGTCCGATCCGTGTTCACTCTCTCGAAATCGGTCGCACCGAAATTATTCAAGGTAAAATACGCATTTATATAAAAATAATAATTATATCATTATAAATTTCGCACTCGACAATAACGCGTATTATGATCAATTACCCGTAGACCTACAGTACGAATAGTTGGATGTCGTTGGAAATGAAAAAGATGATAGACATGCTTAAAGAAACACGTTTGACCGACGGGATTCACGAAAGTATGATTATTAATTAATTGTTGACATTTCTCTCCCGAATCTATTACAGAAAATATACATAAAAATACAAGGGTCGAATTTGTTTTTACGGACGGACTTTACGAAGGCCATTCGAAAAGTACCGCTGCAAAATTAAATTGTTCTATTCCAATATTATTTCTGCAATCTTGGCCCTAGATGAAGCTGTATACGAAATAATTGCTTCTCTGTTTACATCAAAAATTAAATTAATACGGTGTATATAATTTTATTTTATAATATCGTAACAGGTCCGGACAAGCCGACCGAGGAAAAGCTAATAAAATTAGTTGTCGATTTTACACGTTCCTTGGAACCGCTGTATGACAATTTACAGGCCGAATTACAATTGGAGATGACGGACAAACCCGACGAATCCATTGTAAGTCAAAATACGTTTTATGATGTTATACGAAAGCAGTGTTGGACAACCGTACTAAAATGGCCCGGAAAATAATTGTACTTCACCGGTCCCAAAAGACAATATATTATAGATTTTCTAAAATGTTACAGGACATCGAACGCTCATTAACGTCATCTTTAATTTCGTCCTTAACACTTGATCAGGTGGGCAAGGTTGTTTCGATGAATCACACGGCTTTCGCCAACGGAACAGAACAAATGCTCAGTGTTACCGGCGGATTGTTGGCCGGCCTCGTAAATTCGGAGAAATTATTAAAATATTCCGTTGTCAAAGGGTACTTAAAAATAATAACGTACCCCGGCACCCCCCATACGATTTTCGCAATTTTTTTTTTTTGTTAACATTTAGTATGCAATTCTTATGAACTTGTATGATTTTTTCTCGAATTTGTGCGCCTTTAGTTTTTGCTTTACAAAAGAAAAACTAGAGCGGTGCTGAAGAAACCGTTTCTTCAGCACCCCCTCAAGAGATTGGATGGCGTAAGCGTGTTTTTTTCGCTACCATAATTTATTACGTGAATCGTATGAATTTGTATGCCCATTTCCAAAATGTGTACGACCACTCCACCAAATCCAAATAACGATCTAAGCATTTATGCTTTTTTTCAGCACCACTCCCCCCAAACAGAACCGACGGTGTTAGCATGTTTTTTTCGCTACTACTAATTAGTACAAAATTCGTATAAATTTGTATTGCCCAATGCCCATTTCCGAAATTTGTTCGATTTAATCATTAAAATAAATTTGTTTGTATTTAACATGAGTTATTTAATCAATAGTCGTGGTTATCAATTTTTACATTTACACACTATTTAAAAAATAAAATAAAATTTTTTTAGATTTGAACATGTAATAGCATGTGGTAGGTATTTAAAAATTATCATATAATAATAATAATATTAATATAATCTAAATAATAATAACTATGTATGATAATACAAACGTCAATTAAAAGTTATACAACTGATAAAAATAATATACAATTATGTTAAGCTTGAACTTAATTGCATTATAAAAAATGAATAAAACAGTCACATATTATCAATAGTTTTTTGTTATTCATTTATATTAGTATTGTTGGGGTTATCAACTGTAGATAATAACACGTGGTTAAAGAATGTGTCAATAATCAATCGAAACTAAACTGTCTATAATTTACCAGCTAATTTATAATATCTACTGTATGATTAATCATTTTACAAAATATCATTAAAAGATTTTGAAAATTTGCGAAAATCGTATGTGGGGATGCTGGGAAAATGTACATCAAATAATATCTTTATTTTCGTATCCGTTTTGTAGTCAACTAATTCCGATACAATCTATTAAATGCCTTTTTTAGATTCTACATATTGCTCAACGACCAAGACGTCAGTGAGCGATACCCAAATGTACCGGACTTGCTGAGAACCACAAGAAACGCGTTTGAAAACCGTTTGAATCAAGACAAGCCGGTAATTGCACCGATATATGGAGTCAATCGAACTTTTCAATTAGCCGATTGCAATTTACATACAGACATGGTAAACGTTGAATTTTTGGAACTTCTAATTAAGTTCAAAACAAAATTTAATGCCACCGAACGTCGTGTAAGTTAAAATATATTTTATGTTATGTTTATCCGTGTTAAACAATGCAAACATTGGTTCCTATAATTATAGTATATACACTAAACTTATTCTTATTTTCGGCAAATATCTACCTGCGCCATTTTCTCTACAATATACACTTTCCGAAATGTTACAGGACCTCATGCGTCTATTAAAGCCAGTCGTTGGTTCGATGTTATACCAAAGCCACGTTCACGTAGTCGCTTCAATAAATTACACGGCACTATATAATGAAGGTGAAAATATTCGTATTAACGCCGGCAAACTTTTGGCTAAGCTTGTGTCTGCGAAGCTGCTACAGAAATCATCGGTCGCCAAAGGGTATCTATAAACAATATTGTTATTTTTTTGTCCGTTACGTAGGCAACTATCTTTGATCTAACCAGCCAATACCTGTTTCAGGTTGTACAAGGTACTCACCGATGACGAAGCCAATGAATACTTTACTAATGTACCCGATTTATTAGCGACCATACGGACAGCATATGAAAATGAACTATATGGTCAAAAGGATGGTTCTTTTTGATAATCGACCCCCCCTCCCTATTTTATTCATGTAATCTGTGTAAAATTAGATCATAATAACTCACCTTCTTCCCGTGCATCAAGAGGGTTGAAAATGAAGAAATAAGGTAGTTTTTGTGGTTTTTTGAAAATTCTTTTACCAACGATCTTATTACCAAGTTGTTATCAGATGTTATATATTATCAGTTTTTATCTATTATCAATGATATCATTACCAAGTTTTTATCAGCGACATTAGTACCACGTTATTATTTATCCTATGCCAGGTGCTATACCTAATACATGGCCACCTGAATTGTCCAAATATTTTTTCGAGACAATATTATATACATACTGTTATCCCATACATCGTTATCACATACATACTGTTATCCCATACATCGTTATCACATACATACTGTTATCACATACCTCGTTATCACATATATACTGTTATCACATACCTCGTTATCATATACATGCTGTTATTACATACCTCGTTATCACATATATACTGTTATCACATACCTCGTTATCATATACATGCTGTTATTACATACCTACATCGTTATAGTAAAAGGTGTTTCCTTATGGTCTCGAGTTTAAATGATTTTCGATTGTCAGTCAAAAGATTTTTGTAAACCGAGAAAGATCTCTCGATATCAACTGATGTAATGAGAGCAAACTTGTAAAAAATTAAATAATTTGTAGTAAGATCTTCAGGTAAACCATCCATGTTGTCACTTTCTTCACCAATTATTTTTGATATCTGTTTTAGTATTTTTAATCCGCTGTTTTTGTTTAAAATAGTTTCAAATTTCTTAAATACTTTTTGCCCGTCATTACCCTGAGCCATTTGTAACTGAACTTGAACTTCTTCTAGAATGTCTAAAGATTCAGCTAAAGGCATATTTTTTTTTTGTAATTTCAAAATTGAATCTGTAAGTACTTTAAAATTTGATTTTATGTATACCAGATTACTTTTGACACATTTTTTTATCAAATTTTTTTTTGCTATTTTTATACAGAAGCGTCTTCTGAGTTTAACATTTCCACAATTTCATAAATTTCTTTGTAATATTCGCAGTAATAGATGCTAGCATTTAGCCACGTGCCCCAACGTGTGATAACTGACTCTGGTGGTAAGGGTATATTCGGGACATGTGTCTTGAATATCTGAAGACGCGATGGCGCTTTTTTAAAAATTTTTTTGACATTCTATATAATTCTATCGATCGTGCCAAATTGTCCACGTACCTCTTCACAAGTCCTATGGAGACCATGCGCAGCGCATGTCACGTGAATCATTTTTGAATACAATGCATTTAATGATTTCCCACACTTAACCATATAGGGCGCCACATCTTATAGAAATAATAACACGTCATCGTGTTTGATTCCGTCAGGCCACAAAATACTGAGCGATTTGTCAAAAAATTTGGATACCGTAGAGTGGTTTGTTTTTTCTAACTCGTCGGTATTTAATAAAAATATATCACCTGCTCTATTTTCTTCTAAAGTTCCAATTATTGCATTTGCAATTTGTCTTCCCTCAGCGTCAGTCGTTTCATCGATGGATATCCAAATTTTTTTTAAAAACACACGTTGTCTAATGTTTTTCATCATTTCCTCGTAACAATCATCAAGATAGAACTTTCTAATCGTCGATTCAGTAGGGACGTCTTTTTGAGTATATAATTGTAAGAATTGACGAAACTCTGTATTTTGTAATTTGTTCAGAGGTATATTAGCTGATATCAAAGCTCTGCATAAATCCATATTGAAAGTAGATTTTTTCGACGTTAGATTTGTTAATAGTTGTTGACTGTTTTTTGCTTTTTGATTAAGTTGACGCTCCATAGCACGACGACGTTTCTCTGTTTTTATGTGCTGTGTAATACTAGATCGTCTTTCGGGATCAACTTTCACTTCGAAAAGTTTGCAAAATAGAACAACATCGAAAACACATCTTCACCGAACTCAGAAATTAATGATTTAAGGCGCCGAGACGATGATTGCTTAGGCATCGTGAAATCAGAAATATTAAAATAAAATGGTCACTGCGACACGCGACGGGCGAAATACCGACAACTGATTAATGTGCACTACACTACACTGTACAGTGAATTCGCTCGCAATTTGACGCATACAGTATTACGACGAACAGAAATTTAATAATATTGCGTATAAATACTGATAACGACCTAATAGTTAAACATAATTGTTTACAAATTACCCACGATTATATAATTTATTTATATCGTGATACAAAATATATTAATGCCGTGGTAAATTTGGCTAAAAATAAATACTGGCCGGTCGGCAGCCACTATTACGAGTTCTCAGTTCTAGAGATTATAATACTATTGTTAAATGCATTGGGAGCAATACTAAAGTAGCCGTTGATGTATTTTTTGATGATTTTTTTTGTCAAATATCTAATATTTTTTTGTTTAAATAAGAAATATGCAAAATTATGCAACAAAAATTTTTGTATTTGAAATATACGTACAATAGATCAAATTTATATCGAACCAGAAGTTAAATACGTACATTCTAAACAAATATGCAAATGCCTAAAGTTCCGAACCTTGGACATAACTATAATATATTATTTTTAGAAACTATATCATTTTCTTTTTAAACATTTACAATCTGTATTGAAAAAAAGAAAACACAATAAGTAAATAGGTGCACAAAAATTATTCAGTGACTGGGGGACCAGGAGCAGGGAAGCTATCCAATGATAGGACCCATTTGACAGATACGACTAAATAGACATAATCGTTTTTTTTTTCTTTTTTTTAATTAATCTAAAAGATTAATTACCACACCAAATCACGACATTAACTTCTCTTGATACGGCGAGAGGGGTTGTCAGGAATACTGGCTGTGTGTTGGTTTGCGACTATGGGATTGGGATGAAGGAATAATTTAGACTGGAATTTTTTATAATGGAATTTAACTAAATTGACAACTGATTCGATGTTCAAGTCCTTGTGAAGGATATGATTTGAAACATTCCAAGAAGCGAACGTTATACAAAGGGAAATAGATTGGAACATTTTAATTGTTTTTAGATGAAATGGTACAACCCCATATTTGGGCTCCATATGCCCAAATTGGCCTTAGCATTGACTTGTAGATAATTAATTTGTTTGAAGTGAAAGATTGGATTTTAGTACAGGACGTAATAAGTGCGATCTAGCATTTAGGGCCTTTCTTTGAGGTGAGGACCCCAGGTCAGTTGCTTATCCAAAATAATACTCAGATATTTAACCTACGATAGGGAGAGAATAGGGACTCCTTAGAGGGAGAGAATAGGCATATTTTTTTGTTAAGAGTGAAATGAACATAAACTGATTTATCTGCATTGATTTTGATTTGCCAGTTAGAAGACCACTTTCTTATTAGGTCAAGGTGGTGTTGAAGAGCATTAAATGCTACGATCGGGTTACTATTAAAGGATAAGACAGATGTACCATCGGCGAAGGAAGCAAAGATGGTGTTTTGAGATTGGGAGATGTCTGAAGTGAAAATATTGTAAAGATCGGAAGAGAGATCACTACCTTGGGGAACACCTGCTAGAATAGAAAAGAGAGAAAAAATAATTACCATGAGGAACTTTAAAGGTTTTATTTTCGAGGCATGAACAGATTAGTAAGTAAAGGGGAGCAGGGAGGAAAGATTTAATTTTGTAAAGTAAGCATGTTTGCAAGGCCTTATCCAAGTCTTGAGCCACATCCAGGAAGAGTCCCGGGCAATAATTTTTATTTTCGAAAAAGGAAGCTATTTTATCTACCAGCCTGTATACTTGCTGTATAGTGGAATAATTTGCACGAAACCCAAATTGTGTATTGTGTGTATTGGATTTTGTTGTACATAAATCGTACCTATATTCATATGTATTATAACTACCAATAATAGTTTATCACTTACTGTAAACGGGAAAAAGGGTATTATATCTCTACATTTACTTTCACTAATTAAATTCATACTACAAAAATATGTACTTACCTTATATTTTCTGTTTGAAGTTCGCAAGAAGTTCGTTGCTCAAAATTTTAGGAGGAAGATATAAGAGGTATAAGTACACCTCGTTAGGTACTCAATGAATGTGTGAATACTCGTTTGCCTTCGGCTCACAACTCAGCAACCAGGTTTATAAACAATGCTAGTGTAGCGAGAATTTTATTTTCTCCACTGCCCTTTCTAAACGTATAGACAACCGTCTCACGGAGGTGAACGAGTTATACGTCTGCACTATGACCACGTTCGTTCTACATTCACAATCGATTAACCAGATGTGTATAGCCACCTGGCCAATAGTGTTAGACTTTTTCAAGTAAAAAATGCATACATAATCCTGCTCCTTTTCGGGAGTATAGACAAACGTCTCACGAAGATGAAAGTGTTAGACGTTGGCACTACGACCATGTCTGTTCTGCATTCGCAACCAGTCAAAAATATGTATATAGCCGTCTACGTACCGGAATATTATATATATTTTTTTGAAGAAATAAACAGTCTATAATAAAAGAATAGTAACAACAAGCACAATTACCAGGTAGATCTGCCATCTGCAAATCAACTTCATGCGATATTTTATGTATCCAAGAGACCCATCGTAATCAAACTCTTAATACTCCAAGCATAAATAGAATGAAGTTAGTATCGATAAGGAACCATAGAATATATGGTAGTGCTATTTTCGCAAAACAGTCAGTCAAGATATACGAACAAAATGACATCGAATTCATCACAGTGCACCTATCAAACATCTCAGTCTTGTCCATCTATAAACCACCAAATTACCCCTTTCAGTATCTCATATCTAAATGTAACCTACAACATAATCTTAACATAGTCGTAGGTGATATAAACAGTCGTAGTTCAAGTTGGGACTATACAGAGACAAACGATGATGGTGAAGCAGTAGAAATCTGAGCACAAGGCGAAAACATGGTATTAAAAGAAGACAGCAAACTACTTAGATCCTTCAATAGTGGTCGTTGAAATAAAAGATATAATCCTTACCTCATATTCATAAGTGAATCTATCAGTCAACTATGTACCGAAAAAATAGAAGACCCCATTCCAAACACATAGCATAGGCCCTTAATCTGCCAAATTGAGATTGTGGTAAGACCTAATATTGTCCCATTCCAAAGGAGATACAATGTTATGAATGCACAGTGGATCCTATTGTTAGAAGCTATCGATTAAAACATAGACAATTTCGAATCACTACCCGAAAACTATGAATCCTTTGTTGAAAAAGTAAAACATACATCCCGAAAACACATACCAAGAAGATATAAAACACATCTTATACCCGGACTATCAAGCGAGAACATGGACAATTAAAACTCTTAAATCAATCTATTCGAAAATAACCCTTTCGTAGAACTAACCAGAAACAAAGGGATAGAGCTCACGAATACTATTGCACAGGAAAAAAGAAATAAATAACACAAACTTTTAGGGTAAACGGGCATGAAACATAGTAGTAAAAAAGCGTGGGACCTAATCAAAAGGCTAAATAGTGATCCTACTAACGCAAAAGGACTATCGAACGTCACTCCCAATCAAATTTCTCATCAATTATTATCTAACGGTAAAACTCTACAATTCAGAAAAGAAGATAAATCTAACAAAAGAATAACAAGAAACTTAGAAAAAAAAGAGAACCACGTCAGCCGGCCCTTTGATGAGAATGAATTGATCACAACTATAGAGACAATGAAACTGAGGAAAGCAGCCGGTCTAGATAACATTTTATCGAACAGTTATATCATATTGGGCCAAAAGCCAAACACTGGGTACTCGCCTTATATAACGAAAGAAGAAACCGGAAAAACATCCTTAGAATATGGAGGAAAACTAAAATCGTAGCATTACTAAAACCAAGGGAAGATGAGGATGACCCCAAGAACTATCGTCCAATATGCCTTCTGTGCTACGCGTACAAACTTTTTGAGAGAATGCTGCTTAATCACTTAGTATCCTTCGTGAACAGTATGCTATACAGTATGTAATGAACAAGCTGGTTTCCGTCCAGGAAAATCATGTATCGAACAGATACTCAATTTGATCCAAACAATTGAGAATAGTTTCGAAAACAAAAAGTCACAGGCATGGCACTCGTATATCTAATGGCAGCTTACAACACGGTAAACCATAGATTAATGGTAAAGAAATTACATGATATTATCATGGATAACGAGTTTGTAAGAATTTTCAAAGCCCTTTTAAGAAACAGAAGATTTTTTTGTAAATCATCAAGGCAAGAATACTAGGTGGAGAATCTCCAAAAATCGTCTCCCTCAAGGAAGTATGCTAGCTCTTACTATGTTTAACATCTACATAAACGACCAACCAATATCCACAGACAGCGGCATAAAACACTGCATTTACGCAGACGACACAGCAATCGTAGTACAACATGAAAGCTTTGAAAATGTAAAGGAAAAATTAGCGGCTTCTTTGAATGTACTCGGGAAATATAGGTGCAATCATCTAAAACCAACCCAGGTAAAACACAGGTCCGTGCCTTTTACCTAAGGAACCAATGTGCCAGCCGTACTCTTATCGGAGCAAATCTTCTGGTAGAAAAGTTGTATACAGATAAAAAAAAAAATAAAAAATAAACATCTTTGTAAAACCATAAGCTTCTTCGTTCCACTCAGAATCTAAAACAGTTGAAAAAGTCAATGTTCAAAGGAAAATAGGTCCACAACTTCGGCTTTATTCAACAAAGAAGAAATCCAGCAAAACACCAATTGCAAAACCTTCTGTAAATTAAGTTCATGTAATTATTTCTGGACTTAAAGATGGCAATAAATGTTCATAAAATATTCGATATTCATATTTTTAAAAATACTAAAAGATATTAAAACTGTATTTAAATATTCGAGGATCAAAACTGGGTACGTACCTATTAGTTTATAGTTAATAATTGTCAATTACATTACATTACTTTTAAGTTAATAAATTAGTTTTTTGTTTATAATATAGTTATAAGAAATGTATAGTGACAAAAATAATTCGCGCACATTGATAAGGGGAACTGTGCGCGCAGCAGCCAATTCGCCAAATGATACGCTCGTCGGCGTACACTCCCACCACAGTGCCGCTGAACTGCCGCCGATGCGCCGCTGCGACCGAATCATATAAAAAGGCGTTTCGCCAGCGAACCGACACATTACTCCTGCGACTACTAACCATCGAACACCTTCCTGCTCGGCTACAGTCACACCGACCTGCTGCGGTAGCATCATTTAACACTCAGATTACAGATCATACTTATAGATAGGCATCTGTGTATTAAAACGCGTTACTCGTGTATGATGCAGGGCTTGGAACCGAAATTCAAAACATCGGTATTTTAACAGGAACCGAAACCCATTTTTTAATTTTCTTAGGAACCGGAATCGATATTTGTTGGAAGAGAATTTTTCATTTTTTTTTTTTTGGTTCCAATAATAGGTATTTAACTATTTTATATAATTAGGTATTACAATAATAATAGTTAATTCATTAAATTTGGTTCATGTAAATTTATAAGTGTATTTATATTTTATGTTTCTATAAACTATTTTCAGATAAGTGTTAAACAATATGAGCAGTTACCAAAATAAAAATATATGAATAATAAATATATTTGTATTCGCTTGATTAATCATCACAAGTTTTGTAAAACCTGTAATTGTGATTTCCTTATATTTTTATAATTAATACATTTTTTGGATGACGTAGTGATGATGAATGATGTGTAATAAAATTATTATTAAAATTTAAAACTATCAAAATTATATAATTTAGGTAAATAATATAATAATATAAACTGTTGTTGGATTGTGAGATGGACTAATAAATTAGTAAACTTGTATACATCTATGTATATATATATATATTTATAAGTATTATATAATTTACTTAATAATTTCTCAACAGTTTCTTATGAAAATAAAACAGGATTACTATGGATTAATGTTCGATTATTCTTATATGATATCGAATATAAATGCGCACTATTGATTAGGGAAAATTATTTTTATTTTTATTTCAATAACACTATCTTTATAGTCGTTGATAGTTGTTAAGGTTCCTACCCATTGAACCGGTACCGGTAAAATTGGTCCAATATTTTATATGGCATCGAACACATCGATACGATATTACCGGACTGGTGGACGCCTCGATATTCTTTATGCGGTACAGTTAAAAACCATGCACATGGAATTAATTGAGCACTTGCACACTGCGCCGATATATCGCTGGTACGGTCTCGAATATTGTATCGGGAAGGGAACATGCGTCGGTATTTCTAAAACGTTATATGCACAATTTTTCCCGTGTACCAAACGGTAAAATTAATTTAAATATACACTACAACTCAAAATTCATATTTAAAAACCAGGGAACCTATACAAATCATGTGTACCTACCTCATCACTATGTATAGTAGGAGAAGAATGTCTGTGCATAGGATATGGATTTTAAGAATAGTTTATTAGATATATTATTATATATATATACTTGTTTATAGATGTTTTAATAATGTTTGTGATGTTTATGAAATTATAATAACATTCAATCGTTATTTAATTTTAGTAAAATAAACCTACAAAATGTAAAGATAAATATATGACCAAAACTGCAATTATAAAAGCTTATGTTGCAGAATTTGAAAAATATTTTTTTTTTAGAACAATATTATCAGTTAATATAAATTTATATTGTATTCATGCATATTATATTTTAAAGAATGCCTACGTAGTGTATGGAGTTTAAAATATAAAATTTGAGCCTTAGGTTACAAAATGTATGATATTTATAGGTACACGCATACTACTGTATACAATTGCTTACTGAAAACAATAGTTAATTTAAAACTATAATTGTTTTATTATAATTTTCTTATATTCCAATAATTTAATAGTTTAATATCTTAATATCGCAGTAGTGTGTGATTATTTTACCGATAAACGTTCTAGCATGATATTTTACCGTCCGGTGTCCCATAAAGAGTACCGGGTCAGTGTGCATGCTATAGCGGAATAACATACCGCACAAATAAAATACTGCGTGTGAACCTTTAGGCCGGGTGCACATAGAGACGCAATCTAAAGCAGGGTAGATTAGGTTAAGCAGAGCAGGTTAAAGCAGTAAAAAGCTACGCAACTTAGATGACCGCACATTGAAACGCAGTTTCTTCTCATCTTTGTGTATAATCGGTCGTAGAACCTACAAATTATGTCTGAACTAAACGAACTAGATATAAGTTCCGCGTCTGATTCAGACGAAGAAATGGACAAACTTTTACTTTTGTATTCACTATCAAAAGGAAATAAATCTATATGGAAAAGCGCGTTCATGAAGAAAAGAAATAGTCACGGTGAATTAGTTCTGACGTCAGAATTTTCCGATAAACAGTTCACCAATAATTTCCGTTTAAATCGAAACCAATTCAATGAAATCCTTATCAATGATAAAATTTATTCAGGAGGATGTAATGCTCAAAAACCAATTGATCCAGAGGAAACACTCGCTGTATTTTTAAAAAGTAAGTTAACATTTTTTTTAATCACAACTTACTAATAAAAAATGTATCACTTTAGTACAATATAAAAATTTAATGTAATTGTAAATAATAATTTTGCATTTGAAAACTTAAATAAACTTTTTTAACATAAAATTTAATATTTAACATCAAATTATAAAATGTAATATTACTTTTGCATTACTTTTGCAAAACAAATAAAAAAGTAATAATAAAAAAAGTAAACTAATAATGATATTTAAAATTAGGTTTGGAAATTTGTATAATAATTTGTTAGGACATTCTGATTTTCATCAGACTGAATATACATAGAGCTGTTGCATGTAAAACTTGCACGAGAACCAGAAGACTCTTCTACATATTGCTACGTGGTAGTAGACTGAGGTGATCCATCTAAATAATATTGAAATGAAGTGTTCAGATTGTTCAAAAGAGCAGCCTCAGCTTGAGAAACAGTCTCAAATATTTTATTTTTTATTGTTAATTGAGTTGCCGTTGGTAGTTTTTGAGTAGTGTGATACATTGACATGAAGAAATGATAAAGTGGATCAGCATGTGGTTTAGAATCTTTCAACTTTTTTCGTTCAATCGCTCTTTTTTTTGCCCTCTGTTCACGGTTCAAAATAGATTGTTGGATTAAGTTGTTTATGTTTTTTTTTTTTTATTTTTTTTTTTTTGCTGTTCTTTGAAAACTATGTCTATGTTTTCATCATTTCTATTGGATAAGTTATTTTCATTTTCCAAAGCTGATGACTCCTGGTAATTATTTTCAGAAATTTTACTGTCATCATTTACGTCAACAATTTCATTTTGCGTTGGAGTAGATGTGTTTTCCATACCATTATCATCTAAATTGGCCTCCCTCTTTCTATTTGTCATATATGGCAATAAAAATGACATTTGTTTTTGAAATTTCCATTGCTTAATTGTTTTAGCAGCAGCTCCACTTTTGAAACATTTTTTTGTCTACGAAGTGCATCTTGGTGTCAACATTTTAATTTTTTCCACGTGACTTTCGCAAGTTCATCTGTAATAGAATTTTAATTTGTGTCTAACTAATTTTAGATTTTAAACCAAATGAGGGATGTATTGTTTGTACAAGTTTTAATTCTTATTATTTTATACTTTATTATTTATTAGTTGTTATTAATAGATACATGTTATTTCATTGTATTACATCACAAATATTATTAATAACATAACCAATGACACACATAAAGCCAACCCGAACAAAAATATTTTATTCTGTACGGCTGCATATGGGTGAAGAGCTAATAAGAATATCTGAAAAATCAAAAATGCTAACTAAATTTCAGTTAACAATGTGATATTGAGGCAGTAAAATTGATACACATAGAAAATATAAAATATTCTTATAGTACAGGGATGGCCAGCGAGAAGAGACTTGCGAGCCACCAAATATATTAATAAATATGGAAGAGCCAATATGTAAAAAAAAAAAAGGTCATATTATTATATAATTTATATATATGATATTGTAAATAAGATAAGGTATGGAATTTAATAAAATGTGGAGAATACGATAACAATAATTATACAATAATGTCAAATTAAATTTTATCTTTATAAATATTATAAATATCAAAATATCATAGAGACATAGAACATACTATAATATAGTATGTTCGTGCTTTGAACGTGACAATTTCTAGTATGTCCAAATTAGGATAAACAATTGCTTTTTAAACGACAATAAACACATATTTAAAATAAATTGTTTTGAATACTTTTCAGCCCAGCTGGCGAGTGAAGCAAAGTTCCGAGAACATCCGAAATATGTGGCCCGTTAAAAACGTTTTAATACCTAATATAATTATAAATGATAAATGTATCTATAAGATACTGCAAATAGCAAAGTGATATCTATTTTATCGACTTTGTATCAAAAACTATTTAGCACGTTGTTATAAACATGTATAACTATTTGGAGTCTGCAGATGATATACGACGGGATGAGGAAAATTAGTTTTTCCATTGTTCTGTATTTCACGCGTAGGCACGCACTTTAATATGACATTTTTTTCGAGAGAGAGAGTGAGCGGTTTTATTAATCAGATTTTGTATCGGATATCAAAATACTAAACGAAAATAAATTTCGTTAAAACTTAACGACTTTCATAAATCGCACAGTGTTTATTTTTTTCTACATTTTTCGTCTTTGCACATACTAGGATAAATCGATAAATGACCTCTTCACCTCTTTATAAAGTATCATCCGCATGGATTCGATTACCTACCGATAATCTAATAAAATTGCCAGACGCTTGTCCAGCATTTTTATGGTGCCGAAAAATATTTATTTCTTCCGTATAGAAGAAAAATAAAACAGTTCAGAATCCTATTTATAATAGTGACACCAGATTCAGCACTTTTTTTATAAATGGTTTTAAAACCAGTTTTCAAAATTTTTTCATTTGATTTAAGTAAACACGTTTTTACTATATCGCCGTTAGATAAATAAGAGAGACGGGCAAATGTCATCGGGATAACCTCTTAACTTTAAATAATATCATGTTTAAATTTATAGTAGTTTGAATTAAAAAAAAAAAAAAGTTTGTTGTCTATATCACTATAAACACTACGACGACGATTACATTATAAATTCCAAAACAATAATAATACATCGAGGAGTAATAAAAATATTACGATTGCATAATAATCACATTTGACCGTTGTGTGTATGAATAATAACGAATCGGACGATAAAAAAAAAGCAGCAAAATGTGATAACTACTATGCGGCAGAGATAAATTTTTATTGCGGCCACGGTGGCGGTGTTATGATGTATAATACCGAAATGACATTAAAATAAAAAAAGAGAAAAAAATGTTGATCTACTTTAATACGCGTATATTTGTTAACACAAAAAAAAAACACCCCGTGAGTCGTGACGAATTTTTTTTATTCGTCTCCGTGAAAATATTATGACGACATATTATTTTTACAATATGAAGTAGTTAGTGCGTACTAACCTAATTCAAGCTTAGTTAAACTAAAATATTATAACCACATGTTAAATATCCATTACCTAACTTAATGTGTTTTAAAAATAATTTTAGTTTTGTCTTATGGAAATCGAATTAACTAAGAAATGCATGTAAACAACGATAAGTGGATTCATATTTTTGGCAGGAAATGAATATCAAATAACGTAAACGCGTATAGGATTAGGATTAAATAGTCCTAATATTTGATTTTTGAATCTCTGAACAGTGAAATATTCAAAAATAATAAACACATGGGTTATTTACATTTTCGTTTATGTAAGGTACAATATTATTGTATACTTAATTCGACCATATCAATGACAATTGATCATCCCATAATGGACTCAACAAATTGCCCTCTGATACGGGTCTGATAGTGAGCCACAACATTTACATTTTCCCGGGACGGTCTGAAATCCCGATCGGTCCCTGTATAGTGTGTATACATGTATAATTATTATATTATAATTTGATGGCTCGGTATAGTAAAAATCGGGAATAACGTTATACTATATTTATTATAATATCGGAAGGGTCAGGGGGAAATATGCGACTGAAAAACCCCAGAGATTTCCACGGCGTTATTTTATAATTTATTATACGCAGATATACGCTTCAAACGAAATATGTTTATTATAATTATTATTTTTTTTATTTTTTTTTTTAATAAACGTATTTTTATATTTTTTTTTTTTTCGTGGCCATATTATAAACATACGATCTGCTGCCACCGCTATTGTGTGTGTGTAATAGTTGTATTAGCAGTTGTTTCGAGAAAAATATAACTAATTATATTTTAATATACATAACATGCTAACGAATAGTCGAAAAAGACGGACACACTTCGCACAATGGGTGGATCACTATTGTAGGTGAGAGGTTATAGGGTATAGACGGGAATTTAATGAATATCTGTAAGCAAAATTTGGATGACGAAAAACGATTCTGAGCGGATGAACAAATCTATGTATAATATATACGGTACACAGATTTGTTATTCCAATGAATATTCACTTCGGGTCCACTTGAACAAAAAAAAACATTCAATAGTAGATAGACCAAATCTTTCCTTGGCTTTTGGACTTTCACCAGTTACCCCTCTGTTGCAAATTCTCCTAATTCGATCATTTGCTATTTATTTTATCGTGGACACACACAGTAAGCAAAATGTTACTCGCTACTGGATATCCAATTGACTTGACTGTGTATCCATAATTAAACATGAAAAATTGAAAACCTCCTTGAAAAAATCCTCGAAAAACAATGGTGTTGTTTTTTCGTTTTTAATCTCGGAAAAGTATAACGGGTAGCTACCCCAAACGTGACACTGTCGGCCATGTCAAACAATTCGTCGAGTACAATACGTCATCTCCGTTCACTCCCCTTACAATAATAATAATAATGCACCCCTCGTATATTATTATTACTGTAGGCACACGATGACATTAACCGAACGCTCTGCAAGCCAGACCAAAATCCGAATAGACAATTTGTAATATTTTGACGCTATAATGTCTCGGATTATATACGGGTTAATATTATAATTATGGCAGTTTTACTTTGATAATATAATTGCATTTCTCCTTTAACAATATTCGACCGGACAAATATCTGTCGGATCAGTAATAACTCAGTGGTTCTCAGCTTTTATTTTCGTTCACAATGCCATTGGGTATTGTTCAAAAAATCCCGTGCTACCCTAAACCCTATTATAGTATACTTGTATCTATGATTTTATCATATAATCATGATTTATAACCAAACGTTTAATTAATTGTTAAAAAAAAAATATTGTAATAAGACTTACTAATTTGGTTTATTAATCATTTTTTAATATTAATATAAATAATTTTAATACAAATTATAAGATTTATGTAAATCAATAATTAAACAATATGAATGGAATACCTCAGACTAAAATGTGATATTCGAGTTCGATGAGTCTCGTAACCGAATTTCCAAAAGACAAATTTAATAAGTAATTTCGTTATTTTAGTTGTTTTTAATTTACACAGTAGAGTAACAGACAAATCCTAGTTGACAAAAATAATATGATTTTAAATTGCCAAAATTCACATGCATATTCATCAACATAGGATTATCATTTAAAGTTAATAAAAAATCAAATATTTTGTACAATATACAATTTCTTTATAATTCTTACATGTGTATACAAAATTATTATCATTATTATGATTATCACATATCTATACTTGTTATATATAATACATATATAACATTATAATATAGATAGGATAGAGTGAAGTTCATTTAATAGTGTTGCTTTGTTAATATATTGGCATAATATATTATATTATGCCATATTATGGTAAAATAATTGCTTATGCATTAGGTATTAGTGATGTCGGACATATCCAGATTCCAATATAATCCGGATATTAAAATTAATTTTATTCGGATTATCCAAATAATCCGAATAATTAAAATGTCTTGAATCATCTGTAGTAGTGCAAATAGGGGAGGGGCTTAGCCCCTTCAAAAAATAACATTTATATTAATAATATATAATAATTTAATCATTTAAAGATACCTACATTGTTTAAAATTAATAACGTAATTATTGAATTATTAGAATTTCGAATAAACGGATACAAATATCCGGTTTGTTCAAATTCGAATAATTAATATTACTATTAGATAAATATTTTTTTTAATAATAGTTGTTTAATATTTCTACTTTCCCGTTTTTCCTATGTTTTCAAGTTTTTCTCGGGTTTTCTTATTTATTATGAAAACGGCAAGGAAAATCCCTAAAGTACCATCGCAGTCAGATTTCTTTTCAGAAAAATTGCTATAATTGTAAATTGGAGCTAAATATCTGATAGAAAAGTAGTTCCCCGGAAAAAAAATAAACATCATCGTAAAACCAATATATTCTCTCTTCGGTAAAAGTGTACAATCAATAACAGCCATAACAATAATAATTAACGAATTCGATTACAGCCTGCCGCATAATAAATTATAGGTATATTTCTCTGAGCTTTTAAACAATTTAAAAAAAAAATCACAAATTTAATGAAAATAGAAATTGAAATGCCAACATTTTCAGAAGAGCTAACTCTATAATAAACTCACTATGGTCAAATTTTTCGAAAATATATATAAAACATTTTTTTTAAATCTTTTATTAAAATATAAAATTTTAATTCAAATAAAAATATTTCTACTCCTTATTTCTACGAGAAATGTATGGAAAAAAAACAGAATTTGATTGTCTTTATAATCTCAGGCAATGGGTATATCTTCGTGGGACACCTTGTACAATTTAAGTCTATTATTTGATATAATTATTTTAATTTCCTATCTGACAATATATTATAATAGTTTTTTTTTTGTTCAAGTTTTAATTGATATTTATAGAAATCAAATGTTCCTATCAATTTACAAATTCTATTGTTACTCATTTCTATAATCAAAGGGAATTTATCTAAGAAAATTTTTTTCAGTAGAAATTAGCATTGAGTCTAAGTATACCTACTAAAAATAATGTTGCACAACATATTGTCTTTGACAATAATAAATAATAAATACATATTGAACCTAATAAATGACAATATTATCCTCATATTTATTGATTATCGCTTTCTCCGTTTTGAACCATGGATTAAATCATTGTCAATTAATAATATACTTTTTTTAAATCATATTATAAACTCCGATATTTTCTAAATTTAAAATTCAGGACGTTTTAATTTAAGCTAAAAATGAGGATATGTCCGGGGAAAATAGGACGCCTGGTAATCCTATTTCAATTGGAATCTAGAGTTCATTTATTGAAACTCATTTTCAATGATATAATATGATACACAGATACAAGATAAGTGTATGCAACTGTCGTAAAAATTGTTGTCATTTAAATAAAACCTGGAGAAATATTTATAAATAAACGCGTTGTTTTCAATCATTTCACAGCATAATAATTATTTAATTATTAAATTAATACCTACACAACTACATTGAACTATAGGTTAATTAAATTTACCTAATAATACCTATTTAAGTATAAATTATTTTAATAAGTAGGTACCTATAATTTAACACTGTAACTTATTGTTATTAAAACTCATCGGCCATGATTTTAGTTAGTAGGAATTATACTATAATAACTAGGTCTAAGTCTCTAAGTCTCTTGTCCAACTTCAACACAGTTTCTTTTATTATCCAATTCGAGATGCTAGCCTCGATATCAATTATAGTGTGTCCAACGATCTTTCCCAGACCGCTCAACTGAAGGCTTATGTGGACGTCTGCATCCGTCACATTGCATGATGTGATCCATTTGACGAAGGGATGTCCCTTATGGGGGGTGACTTACTTATTTTAGATTCTTTGGCCTTCTCTGAATTGGCTGAAAAATAATGTTGAATTTAGACAATATTCTTCAAAAACCTTTGGAAAGAAATTGCAAAATTTCGATTAAATACACACAACAAAAAAAACACAAACATTATAAATGTTTATCTAGCATTGAAAAATCCTTGTTAGTTGATATACAGAATCAGTTAATTATTTAATTGACTTAAATTAAATATATTTTAATAAAGTTTTGTTTTTATTATTTTTCAAACATAAGATTGACTTAGATTTTGGGTACTTGTATCCAGGTAAAATAACATGTCTGTTTCAAAAAATTTGTTTCATTTAAACTTAAGTTAAACTTTCTACTTAAATATAAACCTATTAAATTGGAGCCTACTTATTCCCACTTTTTTTATTAAATTTAACGGCCCTAAAAAACCTGGAAAATGTTACATAAAATGAACATATAAGTATATGCATAGGTATTGCTATATATTTTTATTCATATTTTTATAATGATTTGGCTACACTATTGTTACTACCATTCATGTTTCAACCTACATTACCAATATAAGCATAGCTGCTTACAGATTAGGTTATCACGTTCAAACTAATACATTATTCACTTCATTCAAAATCTAAAATATTTTATCGAAAATTTAAATAATTTTCGAAAAACAAATCAATAACGCGGGAAAGTCAATTTCGAATATTAAACTATATATGATCGAAATGTTCAAAACTGTTTTTAGAATATTATTCTTATTGCTTCACTACTGACCAGAGACTCATATAATTACCACAAGAAGGTGATAATATTAAAATAATAGTATCACCGTAAATATCATATATCTAAATAATTGAACTCTGATATTATTGTGGATATTATTTAAATATTCTAATCGAAAATATGATAACTTTTGTTATTGGCGAGCAGTATATAATATAGTATACAATATTATACCTACTATTATTATGAACACGAGTTGAATACAAGTTTTTGACATTGCATGAATATAGATTGCCAGTGAATTATAATAATAATATTCCCCTAGGGTGAACCCGGACGATTGTTCGAAACGCTCGCAGCGTTCTGTTGTTCAGTCGTCTCGCGTCGTCGACGAGATCCGCGGATCGGATAGAGATGAGAGTAGGGAAGCCAAAACAAAACGAAAATGCACATTTCCCATAATGAGGATTAAATAGTCCCGAAATTTAGTGAATTTCAAAATGGACGAACAATCGTACACAAATAGATTTTTTGGTCGTTGAACACTCAATATTTCAATTAGTGTATATTTTTTTGAATATTTAACACGTTTTACAAGTTGACTGCCACAAGTAATTTAGCAGACTTTTCTCCATTGACATAACCATATAAGGGATTACATCATATTGCTACCATAGTCTAAAGGGGTCAGGAACCTTTCCGTAGGAAAGATCCATGTCCAGAGAACCCCATAGGTTTGAACAATATTTTTTTTTGTCGTAGTTGTTGTATTATTACTTCATTGAGAAATTGCAATTAGTAAGCATTAAAATTATAATAATACGTCTTAAATTTAGAAAAAATTTATTTCATCAATTATTATTTATTACATTGTTATTATTGTTTATACAAATATATTATTTGATTAGACACAATAAGACACAAAAATAAAAAAAACATACCTGCTTAATTAGTGGGATTTTCGACACTGAATTTGTGCACATAGTTTATTAAAATTTGGAGAGTAATCTGTAGTTTTCAACTTCAAACAAGTATCAAGACTGATATCATTCAGTTGGCTTCTTAATTTATTCTTAATAAAGTCTATATTTGAAAATATTTGCTTATAGATGTAAGTAAATCCAATACAAGTCAAAATTTCGAAAGCAACTATTTTTAATTGGCTGAAGCTTTCGAGAAGACTATTCCATAAGTCAAATATATAAATATAAATTACTCTCCTTTTGGAAATTTAGTGAGTTCCGTTCATTTATGGTTCGCAGCTAAAACTTCTTTTTCCCTTTCCAGATTTTTAATCTCTATTTTCAAAACCTTAAATTTTGAAGACCAAAGATCTTTGGTTTTTAGTTCTATTAATTGCAATGAAAATAGTCTTTTGTCGATAGATGAGAACGATGGAAAATGAATTTATCTAGTCTCCGCTATGATGTTAAGAACATTAACGTGAAAAAAATCTTCGAATCGTTTACTTAATGAGTTTTTCATGGATTTAATGGCCGATTTAAAATACTCTAAATCAATAATACAACCTGAAATTTCCATGTATTCTTTCAAAGATTCAAAATGATTTCCAGATTTCCGCTATCAATATCTTCTGCAAAAAGCTAAACCTGTTGTTCGGAAGAAAGAACGGTTTCTAGTAGCGTGTATGCTGTATTACCCTTACCTTGAAGCTTTTTATTTATGTGATTTAGAAATGAAGTCAAATCTACTATGTGGCTACAATTTTTGTAGCCACATATCATCGCATAATTCGGAGTAGTTGATGTCTTTGTTTGTTAGAAAATTTTTTATGTGTTGGATACAAGCTGTAAAGCGCTTCAAAACATCCCCTCTCGATAACCAACGTACATTATTGAACATTAGAAGATAATGTGCATACACTTGTATCAGATATTAACTTTATCAAATAATGTACGAACTGTGGTTGTGACTTGGTTAATTTAAACTAGGATTGTTTGAGCACATAAAGCTTCTTGATAAACAATACAATGAAAAAAAAATAGTAGTTCATGTTTCACATTTTGCCCCAAAAAAGTAACAAATCTTTTATATTTACCAATCGCATTTGGTGACCTATCTGTGCAAATAGATATCAGCTTATCTAAATTGATTTCCTTCTTTTTCCAAAATTCTGTAATGGCAGCGTAAATATCTTCTCCTCGAGTTTGACTTTTGAATAGTAGTAAACCTAATAATTCTTCATGAATACGTGTAGACGAAACATACCGTCCCATTAAAATGAGTCGATGTTTTCAACGTCACATGATTCATCACAAGTTAAGAAAAATGCAGGTGATAACTTAAAATCGGAAAACTGTTGTTCTATGACATTTTGGGCAATTCTAAAAGCTCTATCATGAACAGTAGTTGATGACAACGGAATATCTTTTATTTTTGAATTCAGAAAAGAGTTGTTTTGACATACCAATAAAATATTTTTTAATTTATTCTCCATCAGTGAAAGATTTTGCAGACTTCATAATTTCGTGGGATACAACATAACTAGCTGCAGTCAAATTAGTCGCTGACTGCAATCAGTTATTAAATTTAGATGTCAATTGTTAAGAACTGCTAATCAATTCGGCCACTGATGTTTTTCTTTCATTTCCAGCTGGGCACGTCTTACCAAAAGAATCATATTTGTGTAAGAAATAACGTTCAATATTCGATTTTTTATTGTTTTTGAAGTTTTCGTCACAAATTTTGGTTGTCCCATTGTATTCTGTGTAAATGTAAAAGTATCAGTCCACTCACTTCTTCACTTCTAAATTCTCTATTTTCCTCTTCAATTTTACGCTTTTTGTTTATAGACATCTCGTTTACAATATTTCAAAAAAATAACAAACTACGTCGCACTGATTGAATTGACCTGCGAGAACTGTGTTCACGTATCGACTAATATAATTTCGTATTTCGTATTATTATATAATACGTATTATTATATAATACGAAATCATAATATTCTACAGAATAATGATAATCGAGTTTACTAGATAGGACACATACATGTATGTGTGATAAGGTTAATAAAAATTGTGGGGACAATGAAAAGGTTCCCGACCAGCATTTTATAGATAAAATATTTTTTTATTTTTACCAGAAATAAATACCGTTTCAATTCAGAAATATTATCATTTATCACTATAATAACGTATAGGTATAATATAATTTATATTGATGCATTTTTCAAAGAGCCACAGACTATATGTTAAGGAGCCCCAGGTTCCCGACCCCTGCTATAGGTCATGAGGGTCACATATTGATCCTCAATATTTGTCTACTTTATAATTGAGAATTGAAGTTAATTGTCAGTTTGATTTATAGCATTGGATAGAGAATATAAAATAGAATATTAAACCAATTGTAGCACTGAACAGGCTCGTACTCAAGGGACGGATTTAAGGTCTGAACCACATCTGTATAGATATGTAACGTTGTGTGTGTGTACAACTATTATAATGATTATTGATTATTAGTGTTATTAACAATAATAACATAGTTGGTTATGAATTTAATTATACATATAACTATTAGAGAACAAATTAAGTTCATATAATGGATTCCTCTCACACAAAATTCCTACTTTACGCTCCTGGCACTGAGATTACTCTTTAATAAATATATTTAAAATATGAATCCCGTAAATTAATATTTTTTAAAAAAAATTGTAATTTTTTTTTTAACTATAAATATTATTTCTTTACTTTTACATTTTTAAATTATATAAGAAAGCCAACTTTTCACTTTTGTTCAGCAGGTTTTCATTTCTTTTGACTTGGTAATTGTCGTTATTTTAGTAAATGTTTTTATTTTTTGGAACCATTTTTGTGGAGCAGAAAAATCAATCGCAGATCATTCTCAACCAATATAACACAATTTTCTTCATTGAGTTTTTCATTTTCTTCAATATCTTCATTTCTCATTCTATCTATTAACGAAGTATCATATACTTTTACTATAGATTTATTAGGTAAAACTAAACTTTTAATGTGATTTGATCTGCCAACTAATATTTTAAATGGAACGTTAATATTATTCACATTTGCATTTATTGGCGCATTTAACTCTGTAAATTGAGTAATTTGTTCATTATTGACAATATTAGCAGCCGGTGAACTATTTTCCAATCTTCTCTTAGAACTACTATAACAATGCACTTTAATAGGCGACAATCTATTTACATCGGTACATACTTGTTTTTTTCAAATATTAGAATAGCCTTGGTAAATAACTCATTTTCTAAACTCATTGCCCTTTTTTATTTGAAATTGGTTCAGTTAGTTCACTTATTGCTTCAAAACATTTATGACGTTCAAATGTAGCTACGTCATTTTCTTCAGTTTTAGAATTATTTGAATGTTTTTTTTCTATTTCTAACTCATCTTGGAGTTGGAAGATTTTTTACAATTTTATTTTTTCGCCCATGTAACTCTATGGAATTGGTAATTTGTTCATTTTTAACTGTAAATTAATTATTTTTCAATCTTGTTTCAGAGTTACAACTCTATTCGGAATACCCTTTTATTTTTGACTTTAGTTCAGTCAGTTCACTTCTTGCTTCAAAACATTTATGACGTTTTGGTTCAACTTTATGGCTATGCCATTTCTTCAGTTTTAGAATTTTTTTTATTTTTAACTTATCTTGAAGTTTGAAGATTTTTCACAATTTTATTTGTTCGCCCATGAAACTCTATGGAATTAGTAATTTGTTCATTTTTAACTGTAGATGAATTATTTTATAATCTTATTTCAGTGTCACAACTCTGAAATATTTTTTAACATTAATAACATTATTAATTATAACTTCCCATTATTATGATTTTTCATCGGCACTTCTTTTTTAGCTGGATCATTAATTTTAAAATACCGGAAATATGACTTTTTTAGTTAGCAAATAACCACCATCGTGTTATACTTGGAATTGGGCCAAAGATATTTTTTTTTTTAAATTTATTGTTTCAGCATCAATTAATCAATTACATGGTTATTAGCTTACAATTATTGTAGTTAGGCTTAAATTATATTTTATCGTGAAAATAATTTTATTTAAGAAAGTGATAATTTGTTTGTTATCAGCATATGGTCCAATTGCTTCGTACAGGTTGTCTAGAATTTGGTTGTCTTTTCTGGCATCAATGCAAATTTGTCAGTAGATGATTATGTGCTTAATAGTAGTGATGTTTGTGTAGCATGAAGGACATATCAGAGGCTCAGTTTTTTTCATTAGGTATCCATGTGTGATTCTAGTATGACCAATTCTTAATTCTTAGACTGTTTAGTATGGTGTCTTCTTTTCGGCTTAGATTATAAAGTTTCGGCCAGATTTCAATGGTATGTTTAATTTCTCGAAGTTTGTTTTATGTCATTAGGTGCCATTCAGAGTTTTATAAATTAGCACAGTCCATACATCAATATTTATGTATGTCAACTAATGAAAAAAGGAAATAAATTTGATGTTAGGATTATTAGTAGCGTTTTTTTGCTGCTTTATTAGCTTTCTCGTTATCCTTAATGTTGAAATGTTCTAGCGTTCATATAAAGCGTAAAAATGTATTATATTGTTAATTTGTATGGCCAAGGAGTCTGTACATTTTTTGTAACTACCTATGTGGCCATATTCGCCATTAGTGAAGCCGGCTTTCATGAATGTTATCGGTGATACTATTTTTATAGACAAATTGGCAAAATTGCATTTGTAATATTGTTGTGAGGAATAATCGGTTGAGCGTTAGATAAGATTACCCATTTGGCCGGGTTGATAAGACGGTGTAACGTTATTTCAGTGTTATTTACGACGATGTACAGGTTTGAAAATGATTTGTTCAACAATATCTTTGTTAGAGAAGTAAATTCAAAACCGGTTATTAGACATACGTGAGGCAAATTGGATGTCGCATGGAGACATTAATTGGCTAAATGCCTCTATATTTTCTATTTTGGAAACTTCTGCAGTTGAATTTAATACAATGGTACCTTGATTATTTTTTGGGAATTGAACGTTAGCGGTAATTTCAACAAAAAATGTTTGTGTGTAGGTTTTTAAGATTATAGGTGTACTGTGATGAGGGTTAGAATCCGAGCGTCCGTCGTAAGAGATAGAGAACAACGTTGTTCTTAAAATCTATTACGTATTACTGCTATTGGAAGCTAAAAATGCAATAATGATGATCGGGAACATACGTATATATCGGTCGGTCGTTGCACACGTACTGAAAAAATAAATTTATCATACAGCGCTTGTTATTTTCTTCAACATTTGTGACATCTTCAAATCCTTCTATTTGTTTTCGATTTCCTTTTATAAATTCGATTTTAAAATATTGATCTTTACTATACTGGTATGACGCAATGAATTTTGGTTCCAATAATCTTGAATATTTATTTATTTCTTTTTTGTTTCGTGTGCTGCATAATTATGGTTTCTTAAAACTATTGATGTATTCAAAAGAGTGCCCAGATTAACCATTTCTTGCGGCATACAGTTAGTTTGAATATTGTTTTTTGAACGTACATCTCGATCAACAGATTTATCAGTGTTTTCCTTGTTTTGTTCTGTAACCGTACAACCAGTTTTTTCGACGTTTGTTCTGCAGTTTCAGACAACAACATTGTTTTTACTTACTATTCTAGTCCCGATAACCGACGAAGAAGTTGCAGCTCCGTTATTTTTATTAGAATACGTGCTAGCGACATTTGATGGCTGGCGACAAGACAAAAACTGAAATAAAATTAAGACGAAATAATATGAGAATCAATTTTACGGAAACGATAAAATAGGTTTCGTTAATAGGACGACCGAAGAAAATAACATCGACTCGGAAACACCTGAGCCAGAAACATTTGAGTACCGTATACGGAAAAAAAAAACAAAAAATAATAATAATCGAGAGATGATTCGGGTGTTACAGTAAACTGACGTGTGACGTGGTCACACAGAATATATACTTATCTATGATGTCATGAGTTCGACGACCGATCGAAAACGATACGGTTACGTCCTCACGATAAGATATTAATAAAAGAAAAAAAAAGGAAGGAATTTAAGCTCCAGGCAATCTGTTAGTATTGTATTGAGAATAACAGCTAGACAAGGGGAAATATGACAGTATATTAATGTGATTATGTAAAAATACACACGTAAAAAAATAATTAAATAGATTTTAATAAAATAGTCTTGTAGTTTGCATTTATGTAATGGTAACAAGAAAATAAAAACTATTGTAACACTCGATGTTAGAGTTACATAACAAAGTTAAACGTAGTTTAAATATTATCAGGCGAAATATTAGTTGAAAAATATTGAACATTTTGTGGTGTGGGTGGTACAAATGTTTAGAAGTGTAGTAATCTATACTATTATATAAAATTGTAAGGGGTTTTCTACGACCGCGCTAACCGAGAAAACCACAGTACCGATTTGGCTGAAATTTTTTACCGTTGTACCCGACACTCTGCTGAAGGTTTTAGTACCACTTTTGTCAATAAAAAATAAGTATAAAGTTCTTGAAAAATTAAAAAATTGTCTACCCATATTATATACGCATTGTGCGGCACGGCGGCCCGCGGGTTTACAGCTACCCGCGACCTGACCTTTTTGTTCGTCAAATTGTATCGTGTTTGACATCGGCGTGTAGGTACGAATTGTTCCGAGAAGTTTATCGCACGCACACCAAACAACATGTATACCGAATATTCGTATTAATCTTTATCTATATCTTTATATATTTATATCTACAATAATTTCTCAATTCTCTTTCTCCTTCGGGATTTCCTCTCCATAAGCTAAAATTAAAAATTGGTACTCCGATTACATTATTACGTAATCTTNGCATTTATTCCAAGAATTCCCGTGATTCCGTCGGACTTGCCGTTTCCGTTCAAACGGCTTTAATTCTCTGTTAAAGTTTCTTTGGCAATCACGATACACAAAGCTCAAGGTCAAACATACAGGTACGTTGGCGTGGTCTTCGAACACAGTGCTTTTCACATGGACAATTATACGTGGGATTTTCTCGAACTGGGGACCCGAAGCATCTTATGATTTTAATTTCAACAGGAGATAAAACAAAAAACGCCATATACTCAGAAGTTTTATAAAATTCTTTATCAACCGTAAATTACTCAGCATTTCTTTTGTATCTGCATTCATTTTTAGTAAAAATATATTTGTCATTAATCCCGCTTGAAACATTTCAATACGTTTTCATTAACCGTTTTTTTTTTTTTTTATATTAATTTGCCGATATTATTAAACGATAGAATTTGATTAAAAAGTTCTATATATCATTATCCAAAGGCAAATTAAACAACCAATCACGGGTGAAGCCGTGACGGGTCGGCTAGTAATAATATATGCGTAATAAAATTCTATGAGATTCCCAAATTTATATTTGCGATAACGGAATAAAAAGTTAAAATTAACCGAACAGTTTGGTAGTTTCAACGGGCATTCGGTATTCCCACAGAAAATCTATCGTCTATGGCAGAAATGATTTAGATGAAAATTATTTAACCATATTTATGTCTCATACTCTCATTTCACCAATTTCCCATGATACTGTTCATTTTATCATTTCAATTTGTTCAATTAAGCTTCAAGTTTATTAAATACTTGTGAATAAGTTGCTTTTAAAAAAATAATAATTGTACTTTACAATACAATTGTACTTACTTTAAGTATTATGTTTTTACATATATTTTTTATTACCTGTGCATAAATTATTACTATAATATATGTTACTTATTTATTAAATATAAACACATTTTTAAAAAAAAATGTATTGTTTTTATTATTTATTGTGGCCTATATTACTAATTTTAATATTATAAAACGTAGTTATAACCAATTATTGTTTTGTAGCAAATACATACATAGATATGTAGTTGTTACAAAGTGATCTGCAATTGGTATAGAATTTTTTGTTTCTATGTTACAAAATGAACTATTACACCAACATAGTGTTTTATCAAACAACAGATTTAATAGGTTGTAGGTAAAAATACATATAACAAAACATATTTAGTAGCCTTTACATAGTTTTGTGGTCAACATGAAAATTCAGTTGAAATAATCAATTGTAGACTGCTATAACCAATAATTTTTTTCCGTGTAATATTATAAAACAAATAGGCTATAAATAAACGATAGTTTAATAACTAAAAAAAAAAAATATACCGTAATATACACAATTTCAAGTTTATAAACAGAATATATATATATATATATATACATGAGTGAATATTCAAAGATTACATAAATAATTATAATATAATAATTCAATTCCCGTATAACAAATGGGCAGAGTTAATTAAATAAACAGGATAATTATAATTATAATGATGACGCGGGTAGGTACACGACTAAACAATAAATAATGATTAGTTAATCATTATTTAACATGCAAATAATAACATATGAATAATCTTAGATATTTAATTTTTAATGATACTAATAGAATTATTGGCGTAAATAATACAACGTGCGCGTGCAAAGTAAAAAGTAATAATATGCAATATAGGAACCTAAATCCTAATATATTTATGAAAAGACGATTAAAATAAATACATCGAATTATAGATTCCGGCCAGATCTAAAAGTTCGTAAAGGAATAATATTATGCAGAAATAATGAATATGAGAAATGTTTATACGGACGTAAAAGGTTCGCCACCAATGTAATATAGAAATAATCCCCAAAAAGAAAAACACGCAAATATAAATACTCAGATAATATTAGCTACGTAGCAGTAATTGCGTGATTGAAACTGCTCAAATGCCTACAGTGAAAAAGTGATAAAGTTTGCATAAAGCAACGCCAAAATACATGAATAAAATGATTTAAAATATTTTTAATGCGATTACCTTCAAATAACGTTTCTTCTTGGACAATATAACCGACTGCCGAAACCGTGAAATAATTCATCAATAAAGAATCATAAATGAAGCTGGAAAGGCTACCAACGTGCCAACGCACGACGACAGCAACGAACGGAAATAGAAAGGTCACCAGCAAACGAGAAGAACGCGGCGGCTATTCAAGGCCTATAACTGCGAGCAGACGTTTGATAACGGTGCGGAACGCGCAGTGTACGCCGCCCGCCGATATCGCGAATAGTGGCGGTATATCTAAAACTGTTTCAAAACAGTTGATATGAGTAAATAACGTATTCACTCAATTAATTAATTATTTTATACCTAATTAATAAAATATTTAATATAATGATTAGATCAGCATTGTATTATTTAAGAATAAAACAAACTGAACTGATACACAAACCATTTTATTTTAGATTCTGAGTGGAGCGAGGAATGTATTGGTTTTACAATGATGTTTATTTTTTATTTCTATGAACAACTTTTCTACCAGCAACACAATTTGCTCTGGTCGATAACGATAGCACTATTTCTGAAAAGAAATCTTACTAGAATGGTATTTTAAAGAAGTTTTATTTTCCCAGTTGTTTTCGTAATATATGGGAAAAAAACGAAAACCGTAGGGAAAATGGGAAAACAGGTACAATATCAAACAAATATTTAATTCCTATTATGTAATTATTTTACCGTATAATATATTGTTGACAACGCAACACTATTAACCGAACTCTGTTCAGAATCGTTTTTCATGGCGTTTGGTTAATCGTTGCGTACAGATATACATTCAATTTCCCCTCTAGCTTTCCAACGTCTCACCTACAACCACTGTGGGCCACTGCCCGCCCCCTTGCGGAGTATATGTCCGTCTTTTTATAAACTTTTTCATAATAATTTTATACCGATTACAATTTTCAAACATAAAAGTTATAGCAATATTAAAATACATTTTTGGTATTTGACAAACTGTTCCCTTAAATCGTTTGATTATATTCAAGATAATAATTATTAAAACCTTATCAATTACAATATATATGAATCATATAACAAAGTATAATATAAATATATATATATATATGTACAAATTGTGTATAATATGGAATATAAAACAATTTATACATTGAGTAAATTTTAGACAGCAATAAAATTGCCAATTCAAATTAATAGGTTGTATTATGTTACAACATGTCATTATTTCGGACTGAATGTGTAACACTTTTATTTCTTAATATTTTGGATGATCATAACAATTTGAGTTGAATTTGGAGTGGAAACTTTCACAAGCATTTGTCCGAAGATTTTCTTCGGAGTTTTCTCAGCAAGTGTGAAAAACTGGGAGAAAATATGGGAAAACCTGGAAAAACGTAGGAAAACTAGGGAAATCGGCAAAACATTAAACAAATATTATTAAAGAAAATATATAGGGCCTATTTAATTATTTTACTACAATATGGCATATAATATATTGTTAACAAAGCATCACTATTAACTGAACTCCGCTCAGTATCATTTTTTCGTAAGCAATGGTTTATCATTCGGAAAATTGTTCATATAAAATCAATAAAAAAAAAAAAAAGAAGAGAATTACTATCGTGAAATATTCACCGGGGGGAAAATAATCCCGTTTATACCGGTGCTATAAATTGCGGACAATTAATGCAAAATAGTTTTGCATGACACTTAGAATTTTCTTCTCCTTGTGTTAACCCCTAAGATTCTACATTTTTAGTATTTTTTTCAATAACGAATTCTACAATTTTAAAATTTAAATATTGTTATTTATTTTTTAACATATTCAGCACCTACTAATTAGATAATAATTTTATTTATTAAAACATGGTTTATATTAGCTTAAATAAATACAATTATTTTATACTGCAATACAGTGGCGCCAAACCAAGTTTAAGGGATGGGTGTATACCCTAGCATTAGTAGTTTAGTATAAAACATTGTACATTTTACAATAATATATTGAGTAGCAGACATATTACAAATAACGCGAACTAGACAACTAGTCGATTCGTAGACAGCCGCAGCGTGTACTGTGTGATTGCATAAGTAAAAGAAGATAAATATTTAATTAATAGTTTTACGATAAATAACCTACCTAATAAATTTCTAAATCTACAACAGCGGCCACAGCTAAAAACACGTAATAAATAATTGCAAATAAAAGAATTGATAGAGGTAGTTTACAATCTGTACTCAATATGCTTATACACTATACAGTTATACTTATACCCATTGTTGACTAAAGGTTATTAAAATGGTTGTACGTCATTTAAAATATAAGTACATATTTAATATAATTATTACACCAATTGACAGTCGTTTAAGTGTAGAAAAATCTATTACGAACATTTTGAATACTAGAAACATGATACATTTTAATAGAATTTAATTTCAAAATTTCACTTGTATACTGTTTAGACAACTATTATTACTTTAAAATATATATCCCCTAGAGGTTTCGATTAAAAATCTGAATTAATAAGTACGTGAACACGGTGTCCATGTATACGTGAATGAAAAATGCGTACTCGCGTATATTTAAAACATCTGAATTTACTATCCGTGTTCACGTGAGTTTTAGTATTATTTATGTATTCATGTATTCACGTGAAATACGTAAAAACGTGAATAAATTACACGTGTACACAAATTTGTTAAGTACACCGTTTTTTTTTTTTGTTTTTTTTTTAGATTAAAATTGTATTTTTCATAAAAACGTGAAAGCGTGTACATATGAAATAGGGAACTCTAATACACATGTTATAATACGGACATTTTACTTTGAAAATATATCCGTATATTTTTTTCGTAATCCGATTAGCCAGTTTCGGAAAAAAAAAAAAAACATTTTCTAAAAATGTCGATGTGTACTGTTTAGAACTGTTGAAATACCAGTGTTTAAATCGAAAACGATCGAACTTTCGAACTTGTTACCATTCATAAACGTATTAGCATATTCCTTTTTTTTTTTTTCTTATCAAAGTCGAAACAAATGGGTTTATTTCTGAAAGCCAATACATAATATTATAATTGATGCATACGGAATAAGAGTAATATACTGATATTGTACAATTGATTCTATTGTGATTGCTGAAAAATAACCAATTCATCGATATAAAATCGAATTCAACGTGAAATTAGTAGAACGGCCACAACGCCGGCCGGCGGTAAATGAATCCCCCTGTATACGCGTGTAACAATTACGCGATCATCATAAACGGAGACGCACACGCGTAACACCCGTTATCAGCAGCGGCCGTAACAAAAAGCAAATAGGTACGCTGCAAAAATACTACCACATTATGCGTTATAATATTATATTATAACGTACTTTATCTATAACTATATTGAACACTAACTAAATAAATACATGGTACAGGTACGAGTTTTGTACTGGTCTACGAGCAATAGTATTACACCGTTCGCACACCGGCGTAGGCGATTGTCCTGAGGCTCGTCGCAAGTGGCATATTTAAGAAGGGAGATTGGGTGGAGATATATATTCCCCTTTGACCTTTTTCAGTGCCTACGTCGTACGGCTGTGAACTCTCTGCTGTTTCGTCAAACACTCTGGATTCGAGCGGACCAACGGACACGTATCGTACACCGGGTCGAAAACCCGGCGGATGACGGCTCTGACGGACAGAATCAAAAACTTCCTTTTACGTTTCTGGTTCGGCGGGTTACCGCTGTGACCGAAATTACGCCATATCGTGTACCTCAGATTGATAACGTTATTACCGAGTTCTATTCAGTGTGGTCGCTAAGTATACGTATGGTAAGACACGTTTGAATTCGCGCCAAATCCGATCTTTTTTTAAACCAAGCAAATTTAAACAAAACGATGAGTCGTAAAATAATGAAAAAAAAAAAAAAAAACAACTATTATTTCAATCGGACGAAACCATAGAATTAGGGTAAAATGCATTTGACAACCCTTCCCCCCCCCCGGAAAAAAAAAAATAAATCAAGCACGGTACTGTACAATAGAATGTATTGACCAAACGCGATAATAATTAAAATTTAATTTAACCGCCAACTACATTACGAATTGTTGTACGTTTTCGGCTTTGCATAATGTTCGTGTTATTCTATGCTGCACGGAGATGACAAGTGAACGAGCGGGCCGCTGGGTCGACCCGTCGTCGTCGCGGCGTGAATCCAATCGCATTTTACATTGGTTCATATTAGTGCGTTTTCCCGATTTGGCGATTACCGGGATGTACAGATCGGCCGATGGCGACGGGGTCGGGTCTATGCTCGGGAAACCCTTAATATCGCTATTATTATTATTATTATTATTATTATTATACGGATTGTTTATGCAGCTGCGGGCCATACGCTGCGACAAACCCGCCGATGAACCGCTGGGTTTCGCCGTAGAAAATTTACGATGTCCACAATATTATTATAATTATCGTGTATTAATATTATCACTGAGCCGCGTCCGCGGTAGAATAACCGCATGGGAATACCGAATTCTTATTATTATTATTTTTTTTTCGAACGTAACACAATTATTTGGATTTTAACAACGTTACGGTATCGTATTGTTATTCAGAATTTCAACATTTATTATTTCGACAATTCGTTTATGAGATAACGTGTGTGTTCGCATTATTATTTCGCATACTGTCAATAATATTTATTTAATAACATCATTACGGATATAATATCACGCCGCGTCTGGGTAGTGTGTACTTAAATTTTCGTTTTGATACTTTTTGGTAGGACAAGGCGCGGGTAATTCGGCTTCGTCCTTTTGCATTTTAATCGCGTCGGCGCAGACCGTTGGTATGAATACGCACGTTAGATCAGTGCAATATTACATAATTAGTCAATAAAGTAGATAATTACTGATACACAATTAATGTATTCCGAATATCAATGTTGTTTATATTTATTTAATGAAAAAAATTATCAGTCTGGTGTTGACGACGGTTGTAGAGCACGTTGAATCGCGTTACCATAAACCGCACGCGAAAATAGAATAAATTAAAAATTAATAATCTGTTTTCAGTCAATGTACCGAAAACGCCGTTACGCGGTGCTCAATGCCGCCCCCGTCTCAACCGAGTGCCGCAAAATCCCGAGTGCCGCGCGACGCCAACTG